AGTAATAATCTCAGAACAATTCACACAGCGCCATTTAGACCCAAATTAAGCTTGTGTTATAGGTAATTAGATAACTGATACAAATACGTAGATATATTTTTTTCGTAAATTAATACATATTATAAACACAAAACACCCAGACCGATACAAACAATCATACTCACGAATATAAATGTTTGTGCAGTGCGAGGAATCGAACCCGCGACCAACCGAAGTAAGGCGGTGTGGTAAACCACTAGACCACTGAGGCCGTCAATTAGAGTTGTATTATTATAATTTTTTTTTTATTATTATAGGCAGTTGTATATATTAATAAAACTTTAGAAATTTACCACGAAATCAGGTAGATATAGTGTGTAGCTTTAATACCCAAAATTTAATACCTAAATATTATCAAAAGTTAAACGAGTACTGGCAAAATATAAGTCACTAATGTATGTGTGTGTGGCAATTTCTTTCAATTCTGACCTCGGTCGAGTCGCGTTCATCTGAAATTAATGAATTATTCAGAGCTGAGATTCCCACTTCGTTCAATTTTAACTTTTACTCGGTTTATTTGATTAGGTTCAAGATTCTTTTTCTGTGATTTTATAGGATATTGATTTTAGAAGCTGTTGTCGATGAGCCCCACATAAATAATGTATTCGCCACAAAACTCTACGTTTCAATGTACTGTTTTTTACATTGCTTTCATATTCAAATAGTATAAACATACAGTAATATACTTATTAAACCTAGTAAATAGGTAAGTTTTATACAGGATAAATGATAATTCCACCCATACTATCAGGATATAATTTTCAGTTTATTCCCCACAAAAGATATTAAATAATAAACTATTATATTCGTTTGTTAATATTCCTATTTATTTTATATTAGGTGATGGTTACTAATTCCATCATCAACTCATCATGTCATCAGGTTGTTTACAAAAATCTTTCCGATGAAAAGGATTAAAATGTTGGCCACAGTTGAAGACAGCAAACAGTTTTTTTTAAACTACATTTAATATGATCTTGGGTATATACAAAAACTTGGTAGATGTATATTTTTATCATTATTATGACCACACTGGTCATAATAATGATAAAAATATACATTGCGATCCTCCACTGAGGATCGCAACCGGAACAAAATGGTCTTTGTCTAGCACTGTTCAATACACTCTAGTACATAGATCTATCTTTACCTATTCGCTTAAATAAAGATATATACATCTACTTGCTATATTATCAAGACAGTTGCATAGAATCTGTAATAGGAGGTTGGATGTCATTATATAGGAGATAGCTATCACGTTGAAGTAACGACAACGTTACAACCAGCCGCCTGTCAGACCACCACCCACTTCGGTCAAACTCACCGCAAGATATTACCAAGAGAAGAGCCTGCAAAATTACACTATTAGGTTGAATAAATTGCTCGCCACAACGATTAATTCGGTAAGTTAAAATCGATTTGTTATTGTTTGTATACATGTACATTGTGAACATACTGATAATTCTGTAGTGTGCATCTTGCTTTGGGGAAGTTGCATCTTTATATAATTATTGATTTTATAAAAAAATATTATAAATATGTTATAATTATTTGTAAAATGTTACACGAATGAGTTTCATCTTATTCGGGTAACATTATATCTTATACCTCAAAACTTAGTCCCAAGACATCCTAATACATATTCTTCAGTGTCTGTTGCATCCTGCAAATCTGAATCCCTAGGCGAATATTATTCAATTTTATGGGTAGATACTAAAAATATCTATATTCCAAGTCGGTATACCTGCTGAGCCCATGACTTCGAATAATAATCATACCTACTTATTCGTTGGAATCCGATTGGAATAATGCAAACAAAGAAATATGTGAAGCATACGACAATAGATAGGTATGTAGGTACATTAGTGAAAACTGCAACCAAATGAGTTAAATCATTTCGGAAAAAGATATATTGGGTAACCATCTTTTAGGATTATTTTATTTATAATGGCTTACAATATTAGTTTTCCTATATATTATCTATGTACACAAAACAGTCACTTATTTTTTATATGTAGGTATAGATAGATTATCTACTTAGAAACTTACTTCTGCTCTAGAAAGTAGAACTCAAACTGCTTATACCACTAAAGAATAACGTTAGATTAAATTATTTACAAAAGCATAGGTAATTATAATAGATAATCTGAATTTAAACCGGCAGGAAATGAAATCTAAATAAACTGCACCTTTTAATCCAACGTTGCAGGGCGGCGAACCGGAAAACAGCATCTCTACAGTGTTTCTAGTACAACCAGACCCAAGAAAGCAGACTGGAAATATGCTAATTAATTCTCGTGATGTCAGAATACCATTTCTTTTATATATTTGAATAAGATACTCAGAATAAGAGTGCTTCTAGTGAATAATAAGACAAGCGAGTAGTCAATCTAGTTATGACCTGTGCCTCTAGTTAATAAATTAATACCTAATAATAATACGGAATAATACACACTTACACACGCAATAAAGGTATATAATTGGCTATTCGTGGTCAATTCTCCATGACTAAACGAAGACGTAATCGCGTGATAGTCGATCTAAGTTTTTCGGCCAGAAATATTGCTAGCAATGTTTCTCGCTACTTCCCATTAGATACTAATAATACCCATCCATGAATATTAATCACGCTAAGTATAACAGAATCATCAATACAATATTTGTATGTTGCTAGTTATAATCACAAAGGATAAATAAATCTTCTTTAAGAACTCAATAAATTCAAAAGAAAAAGGAAGATAAATTATCTAATCATTATTTCTATATATATCTATTAATTTAATTAATATTAACTAATTTTGTATTGTATGTTAAATATTTTATATTAATTTATAATGTATCTATGTATAAGGCAAAAACTAATTTTGTAACTATAAATATTTTAAAGCTTAGGTATGTTCAATAAACCAAATTAATATATTAAGTAATGAAGCCTGAAATTACTTGGGTAATATTCTTAGATAACTATAATTATAAGGCCGTATAATTTGTGGAGGTACAGGATGAACGACATTATGCATATCAAGATTTCATCTTCGAGGCATAAATCATGTCCCCAGCCGGGTGCCATACTACATTTAAGACAGTTTACTTTACATGCCGTATAAATTTTGCAACTACCTACTGATAATGCCGCGAGCCAAACAATCAAGCTGTCTCAAGTTCGCAAACCTAAAGTTTATTTGATCAACCATTTGAATATTTTCTACTCTGCAAGCTTGTATGTTTTGTGGTGTCGAAAATTTAATTCATATATGTACCTAATCTTGTGCTGTTTTTTTTACTAACTTATAAAATTATATTATGTCTAATGTTTCAATATAGATATATATACCTACGAATAAATACCTATATAATAAATGCAAATATGTAGCATATACCTAATTACGAAAAATGACAACCGACTGGAAAATGAAGCTAGTAAAGTATATTCTACGCTTTCCATTACTTATCCTTTTAATAACAAGAACATGCTTAGGTGCTGCTGTTAATCATCATACATCATCATTGAACTTAAACAGTCGTTCTCTCTGATTATTAATCAATTTAAAAGCTGAAGCGCGTACCTGCCGGCTCTTAAAACTTATAATTGAATTAGAAATTCGTAATAGAATAGTATCAGTCTACATTTAATGAAGACAATGTCATTGTTTCAGAATTATAAAGATGGCAGATATATATAGTAGTATTAGTGTGAAAGAATTATGCGACTTGAAATCATATTTGAAACCATAGATAATTTACGTTACCAGTTTTCTTAACCTTAGATACCTATAAAAACTCTGGAAAGTCATTTACCCAAAATGATATTTAATCGCAATGTCGTTGCTATTATTATTTAGATATCTACCGTAAAGAGTATGTTTTAACGTTAAAGAGACTTGCACAAAAGAACAAAATTTTAAAACTAGGACCAAACAGTATCAAACTTATGAGTTCAAGCATCAGTACGAAGATAGTTCTCAGTCTTTTTTCAAAGAAAAGTTTCTTCGATACTTTCATAAGCTCATTGCTTCTTTGCCAACTTCACGAGTCTTTGACTACTAAGTAGGTACCTACTAAGTCATTAAACTTCGTTTTATATTTCTACGTGCCTTTGATTAATTTTTAGTACCTACCTACTTAGCGCAGTTAACGGGGACTTTACCTATCTAATTACGACTGTTTGAACAAGCTCTCATAATTTTAAATGGCATGGGGACCGGAATATGTTAAATTATGAAATATTTACTTCCTTACAGTTGTAATTTCATTAAGTAATTCATACTTATTTAAAAATTCCACTCCAATAATGAAATACCTACTCTAAGTAAGGTGTTTAATTACTAACAGTGATAACTAAATTATTTTACCTAACATATTTTATCAATTGGAGTGGATGGTAGATAGTTTTCAATTTTGCATTTATTAATCACCGCCATTTTAGCAGTTCTCTTAGTTTTTGTTGTGTACTAGGGGTAAACCCCCTAGTCGAAGACGGCGAAAACTATCTGATATAAATATGAAATTTATATACAACGGTATAAAAAAGTAAACTAGACGCTGACCGGCTTGGTTTAGTTTACATACATTGTCTTTCTATCTGCCAATTGTTATACTACTTGTTCCGGATCTGATATTTATAGGGTACTATTAAGTATTACCAACACATATTAGGCAGGTACATATTATTATTTCATTAGTACATCTTGCAATTTTCTATACGTAGCAATAAATAAAAACATGTAAAATTGTACAAATACAGTTTTTTCTGCCTTGTGGAATAAAAAGGTAAACCAAACTTTAATAGACACGTAACGTAGATACAGAAATCTAAATTGGTTTTCTCTTTCTACGTTACTTATATTACTCACAGTTTTGCCGTCATTCTTGTCATTTTATGTGTCAGTCTGACAAATAGTGATAACGACAGTACACTGATGTTGATGTAAAAACGTCAAAATATTTCTACATAACTTTAGGAGGAGCCAATTGAAACTAAATAATCTACTATTATTTTGATTTTCATATTTAAAATTTACTGCAATACATTCAATATTATAATAATGATGTAAACGTTTAGAGTTTACAGTTTTATACTTCTTAAATAGAATAATCGCTGGTGTTGCATCATGACATCTGTTTGTTTTGATCCCACATTAAATTAATTTTTAAAAGTTTTTGATAGTAATAAATTATAATGGAGGGTGGAGAATGGAGAAGTAATATTATTCGCCAAATACAGGCAAGGAACAAGTACGAAACTTCAGCGTTTCAAGATATTATATCTTTTCGTAAGTAACATAACCTTTTTAGTACCTTTGTGTAGTTGTTGACATTATTTAATTACCCAATATATGTATTATTCTTAATGTTTTTTGTATGTATTAATTAAATATTGTCATAACTGGATATTATTCTTAATAATTGACCAACTTCAAAACATTGTTATAATTTTGATAATGTAATATGAAAATTTAAATTAATATAAAGTAAATTCTTGTACTTCTATAATTAGAAACTCCTGAATTAGAAAATCGTATTCTTTAGTATCTAAGCAGCAACAAAATCATCATAGTTTTTGTTGATGGAAGATACATTATTATACCACATTATCTTTATCTAATGTAAATAAAGTAACTAACAAGCTGTATTTAGTAGGGTACAGTAAACATCATTTGCATCTATTTCACAATTGCCTGTCACTCGAATAAAATAAATTATTCATGATACATACAGATAGAATGAAAACAAATTAAAACAGTGTCGGACTTTTAGAATGTGTTCAAAATGTCAAACAGATTTCTGTATTATTTGCCTTTATGTGTAATAAATCATGAAACATTGTTATAATGAGCTTACCATTATGATAAGTATATTGTAATATTTATACAGTACTGTAAACAAAGTATTTATTGATAATGTTCCAATGACAATGTTATTAAAATTGAATCATCAATTTAATTATAAAATAAATAAATAATTTAATTAAAAATAACATGTTATTGTATTGATAATATGTGAATATATTTTTAATATGGGGGGCTATTAAAATTAATTCATATAATCAATTACCTAAAATTTTGCTATGAAATATTAATTGCAAAATTTGCCATATTTGATCAATAATATACTTCTTGTAAATAAATAGAATACTTCTCAATATTATTCATAATGTCTATATAAATTAACATAATATAATATGATATATATAATCAGTACAGTAAGTGACATATAATACCTTTTTTATAAATGCAAAGCAAATTATTGACTAAGGATACTAATTATATTTTAATTAAATTAAATATAACTTTAAAAACATAATTTAAACAGATATATGTGTACAAAAAATAATGTGTCAATTCTTTACCCAATTTTCAGAAAGTCGACTGTTTGATAATGTGAATACACTTAAAAATGAAAACCTGCAACTGACTTTGATCAATGAAAGAATCAAATATTCTAATACAGATAATGTGACATCAAGTGGAGGTTAGTATCTTTATATAATAAAACCAAGTAGACGCAGATAACTGTTAGCTGGTATTTATTAAATTACGCTAGAGATATTAATGCAGTTTTCAGCAATAGATAGAGTGATTCTAAGTTACATACTACATGTATGTTATAGTATTGAACAAGCAGAGGAGTTTGAATATTCAAAGACAGGATTGTTTGCTAGTGTATAATAATTACTTGAATTTAATTAATAATTCAAGAAAATAAGAAATAGTTTAAAATGAAATTTATTTTATACTACTTTTACGTAATTGTAATTACAAATATGCTAATGGTCCATCCAATGGTAGGTGATAACCATTACATATGTATATACATGAACAGCACAAACATTATGTCATCTTGTGACACTTATGCTTTGCCGTTCTCATGTACCAAGATGTCATGTGCAATCTGTCATTTTTATTTACTATCCATCCATTTCAGAGTAACAAACAGACAGGCAGACAGACAAAAATTGTAAAAAATATTATTTTGGTGTATGTACCATATTTATATTCATATACATGTGGTAAAAAAATGGTTATTTTAATATTACAAACAGACACTCCAATTTTATTTATATGTATAGATATTGTTGTTACTGTCTTGATGTAGTTTACCTTTATGGGAAATTTGATTGGGTATTTACAATTATACCTTTATGTATATATATATATATATAGTATTATATATAATACCTTTGTGTTTTTGATCAATTTAATCTCCTAATATTCAACTTTCATTTTTTATCACTTTATCCACTCTATCATATTTTGTTCACCATAATAGTCACTAAATAATAGTCTTATCTCATTACTCATATTTTATTGAATCATGATAAATATTATAAATGTAAAAGTGAGTTTGTTTGTTTAGTCAATTTAGTCAGTAATGTACCAATAGGTTACTATTACTGACTACATCAGTCATCACTATGCCACATTCTTCCTTATCCAAATGTGAATAAGCAAGAACTTATCCTTTTATATCACTAAATCTATTTACACGATAATATACATATACCTATAATATTATTGTATTTAGATTTTGTCAGTTACATATTACATATTGAAATAAAAAAAATATGTAAATATTAAATGTTGTATTTTTAATATTTACATATTTTTTTTATGTCTTCATGTAATAAAGAAATATATCTACTGACAATGTCTACCCTCATTATATTATTTATAAATAACTTCGTGTCAGAGTTAATACTTAAATATTTTTTATATTCTACCTACAATTTGTTTTTCATTAAATCATACTGACATTATTTTTTGACAATACATAATTATTTATATGCAATTATTAATTAATTATATACATGTAAATAATGGATAAAAGCATTGGAGATTGGGATGTCGTGTGGACCGGTATGTAACAGCATTTGTTCTTTTCTCTCTGCAGAAAAACGGATTAAACAACACGATAATAGATATTTATACCAAATACCTATAAAAGTGTAATGATCTACTAACTTATATATTTTAACAACTACTAAAATAACAGCTAAATAAGTCAACTGTGACTCATTTTATTATATTTTATATTTATTTGTGTATGAAACAGTAAAATATGGTATGAATATAAATTAACTAAGATTTGATTTTGAACATTTTGGATATCTGGATAGACGTTGTTGTCTTTATTACACTACACATTCTTTATATTTAACTGTAGGTGAATCCTGATGCCTGAATGAATGGTGTCCTGTTATTATTTGTGGAAAATTGTCAGTATACTCTATAATAAAATTACATATAGATGTTTATTTCAATAATCCTTTTATGTATTTTTATATCACTTTTCAGCCACTGCAGCCACTGAAAAAATACAAGTCCTGGAGCATAAAATTCTAGCGCAACAAGAAGAATTGACTTCTTTACATAGACGCAGAGGAGAAAGTGCACAACAGATAATCAATTTAAATGACAGGGTACATGAGTTAGAAAGACAACTTCAGAATAAAGATGTCATGTAAGTGTTATTACCTAAAAATAATAATATTTAAAAGTGCTTTCATAAAGAATTTGGTTAGATATATAAGGGTCGTAGAAATTAAAAATATATATAATCGTTGTAAAGCTGTTTTTACCCCAGGTAGGTAATATTCATAGAAATATTTATTATATCTATTCCCTTGTTAATTGATATTTACTGCAACAATCATAGTTGTTATTTTAATATTGTTTAATATAGTATAGTTGAAACCTTTTTTTTTTTTTTGTAAACCACGTAGATGGCAATCAAACATATGGCCTGTATGATGGTAAATTATTACCGTAGCCTATGGACACCTGAAACATAAGATATGTCACTTGCGCGTTGTCGACCGTTAAAAAACATTAATGTAAAATTTATAATATATAAATATATAATAATCATAATCTTGAAAAACCCTATGTTGTGGTCCCTAGAGAAAACCTTGGCAGGTAGATATTTTCACAAGTGTATGCGGATGGAAGCTGCCCTAAAACCGCTGTCCGAGAGCACTTAGGTTGCCTGTAGAATAGAATAGAAAATCAATTTATTCAAATAAACTTACATTGAAGCACTTTTGATTAGTCATCACATTTTTTTCAACCTATTTATCATTCGGAAAGCTGTCTCATCACAAGAGCATCAGCAAGAAACTTGCGTGTTTTAAATATTTTTTTTGTTACTTTACACTTTTAAGTTGAAGTGTGTGAATACAAACTACCAATTAGCACTAATTCAGTTAAATACTCAAATGGAGAAAATAGTGAATGAACAACCAACTGGTTGAGAACTAAATAAGAGTAAATCAGTCGTAGTGATTAGAGCAGACCAGTCTCTACAAGCAGCACCCATTCACGAGTATGACGGATGAATTACCTGTGTTAATCAATTCCCAATTGTAATCTGTCACCAATGTATATCACTAATATCTATGACTGAAGATATCTCTGTTCATATTTCAGAATTTCAGAAAATACAGCCATTACAGCATCTTTGAGAGCTGAGATTCAAATGTACGAAAACAATATGGCTGAGTTACAAGGGTTAAATCAAGTGCTAAGGGATGAACATCAAGCTTTACAGATAGCGTTTGCATCAATAGAGGAAAAATTAAGAAAAGCTCAGGTTTGTAAACCTATTTTTTACCATTAGAAGTGTAAAAAATATATATTTGTACCTAACTGGATACTCAGAAACAGCATCACATCATATGACGTTAGTATTACCATTCCGGAGGAAATATGTCTAGCTAGCTTACCCTGTAATTTTATTGTCTTATACAACCGAAACTATTCAACCGAAACACTTCTTACAAATTCAGCTACTTGGCGGCTAAAACAATTTTTCTGGAGCTGGTAAAGTCTACCTCAAACCTGCGTTTTTAACTAATTAATAATAATAATCTCAGGACAATTCACACAGCGCCAAGATAAGCTTTCTAAACCTTGTATTATGGGTACTAGATACATTGATTTTTTTTTCTTAAATACATATATGTATATTATACATAGAAAACACCCATACCGATACAAACAATTATATTCATGAATAAAAGTATTTGTGCCGTGCGAAGAATCGAACCCGCGACTATCGGAACTATGAACATCGAATCGGTGTGCTTAACGCTAGACGCCACTGAGGCCATCAACACATAATAATAAGTATAATAATTAATAGTAAAAATATTGCATCAGTACGTCGTGGTACTATTTTGTTTCATCAGGCGAAGAAAACTAGTCCACCCTTTGTGTGTGCTATTGTTTATACAACGTACATTATTTTTGGCATAGTTAAGTTTTTATTTTAAAAATATTTATTCTGCTGGAACTTTACATTTTATAGCATCATTTAAAAACTTGGCCACATGCCAAGATATTTCGTTAGTTACATGTAGTTATATACAGGATGTTTTCTATGTAACTATGTTACACTTTTTTTGATATTATGTTTCCTGGGGGGATTTTTATTAATATACGTAGATATATTGTTGTATAATAAAAAATAAAGTAACAAACTTATTTTTTTTTTAATTAAGAGGAGGAGAAGAGAGATTTGTCATGAGACCAATTGTGTACCAACATTAAATTAATTCAAATTAGTTTAAATAAAGTAAATACATACAAAAGTAAATATTGTAGTTCATATGCTAAACTAGCGATCCTCCCATACTTGTCAGAGTAAAATTCATTACAAATTTAAGAAAAACCTAAATTTGATCAAGCTGTATCTTTTACGAGCCTTACGCTATTATAGTTGTCTATATAAATTGTTTGTTGACTTATATCTGCATAGTTATACTCAGTGTATTCGAAAACTTTGACGATGAGTGACATTCCATTTTTTTAATTTACACCGAAATATTCTAAAATACCTTTGAAAACTACATAAATAATATATATCGATATTATGAAATTTATCCTTATGTGACTATTAGTTAGGTTTCTAAATATGAAAAAATATTTCAATCGGGTTAGTTATATAACTTCTGGTAGTTAACTTTTTCATTGTAATAGTGTAACTTATATTTTTTTAATACCGTTATTACAGGATGAAAATCGAGCGTTAGTGGACAGATTAATAAAATATAAAGCAAAAGATGCAGATAAAATGAACGAAGAGAATGAGCATTTTCTTAAGTAAGTTCTGAGCCCTTTTATATATTTTACACAGCACGAATTTTTATTTCATAAATGTAATAACAATTTTTTTAATAGTTGATTATATTATCAATCATTATAGATTAAATGAATTAGAGTTTTTTTTATTTATTTTGAGTCTTTTTTGTATATTGCATTATTTTTATGTGTATTAAGTTTTTAATTTGAAGTGTATGTATTAATTCGTCCGTTTTACTTGATGCGTATGTAAGTTTTTATTAATTTGTATATTATTGTATATTGCTACTTGGAATAATGTTTTTTGAATGTGCATTGCAATGTAGTTAATGTTTGTTATGTTCATGTACATTTAGAAAGTAGTTGATTATTTATACGCGGAAAGTTTAGTACACGTATTTATGTAACGCAAACTGAAAATTTTGACTTATTTAGTTTGCACTGCATGAGTACATTACTTCTTACTGTAAAAATCCTCACTGTACATAATAATATTGTAAATTTCATGTATTATTTTTGTGACATGTGTTGTAATTAGAGTGGGTTATGCGTGTGCCAGGCGGCTTAGAATGCTTGCATTTGTATCCATAATTTGTTTTTGCTTTTTGTTTAATTTCTTCAACAGGTCAAGCAACCCTACCGCGTTTTTCATCAACACGTTTGGTAGAGTTAGTTTCGGGTGAGTTTGGCATAATGTGAATGAGAATGTGGTGGTTTGATGGAATTGTGGCGTTCATTTTTAAATTGAACATTTACTTCTCTATACAATCTGCCGTGTATGTCTTAACTGCACTCTGAAACTGACTCATTTTTTTAAATATAAATACTTTCAGTCTGTTCACATGTACATCATACGGGGTAATAGTGTCAGTTGTTTATATTTATAGTCGACTTTCAGTGTTATCTTTGGCAGATTATGTCATTACATTACCATCCTATCATTCGAACATTCATATTGGATTTATGCCATCAAGGGTCTCATGAAAGTATAGTTTTTTATTTTTAAATTGGGTCACAAAATTCCTATTTGTAAGCATTCACTGAGCATGTAATAAAGCTAAAAAAGGTTGTTTCTGTAAGTATATTATTATCAAGTAACACTTTAAATAAATAAATACGTTATTTACTTATCCTTGTATATAATCATATACAATTCAGTAGTTTAACTTTAAAAAGTTAACTTCATTTCTATTATAATCTACTTAACAGTAACAGAAATCTAAATAGTGTATACATATAAATAAATGTCATCCATTATACTTGTATATTGGATTTAAGTAAATGTATTTAATATAATACCTTTTATTTCATAGGGAGCTCAAAATATGTACATTTTTTTTTATATATGTGATATTATACAATTTTTCGAATTATAATTTCTAAATTTTGGTGTTTCAAGACTTCATGGGGTGTATCTACAATAATTTGGTGGATTTTGTTAAATGTTTCTATTTCATTGTTCATTGTCCTACTATACTTCACATAAAGGATCTTTTCAGCTACTATTAATGTGAATAGATGGAAATTTACAAAATTGGGGTGCTTCCACGGAAAAATGTTGCGTTGTGATTGAAATTATTTCTATCTCACTCATTTTGTTTGTTTCACGTTTCACTTATTTTAAGCATCGCGCGATTTCATAAATTATCACGTACCACTAGAATCACGTGTGAATCGTAAATCAGAATTCGAACCTGATTTTCTAACTCGATTTGCCCCTCCAACTCACTTATAAAAGAATCTGGGTTTTTATAAGTGTCGATTATATTTATTATACTTATATATTATTGGGTTAGTAAAGCTGATTCCTGAACAACAAATGTTTTTGCATGTATCAGTTGCACGTGATTTTGCACGTCTTTTTTTAATTAAATGTAATTATAAATATGCACGACTCAGTTATTGTGTAGTTATGATATTACCTATTCGAAATATCAAAAATGTAATAAAAACTTCGCAATAAATATTATAATAACACTATTATATATCGTACCAAATGTTTATATATAAATAATAGGTTAATAAATTAAAAATATTGTTTCCCATTGGTCAATTTTTATATTTCTGACTGACTCTCTAATGATGGAAACTCCTATAGCAAAACAAAAATTATTGTATTATTATATAATAAAGGAAATAAATAGGGTCAAAAACCGGTGGATATTATTAATTCGAATTTAATGGTGTCTTCACTAAATACCAATATTTTTCCTAATAGTATAATATTTTACGGCTACAAAGTTAAATCGTTTAGACATAAAAGGGAGAAAAATATGTTATTTAAACTTATGCATAACATAAAGTCAGAGGCAATCTTGAAGCGGATGTGGGGGAAGTGAAATCGACACTCGGCGGGCACACTAGGCCGATTTAGGAAGCAATTTCTCTGAAGCTGATTTTAGTGTTATACAAGTACGATATGGTTTTATTGTTATAGTATAAGTACATGTGAGCTGAATTTACCAAGATATTATATACAAACATATGTATAGATTTATGTAGACACCACCACAATAATTTATTTATATATGGATCTTTAGCCACTATGGGGCCGTTCAAGTATTACGTAAGCAGATTTATTATAATTACTTAACCCCCCATCCCCTTATCAGCAAAAGTAAGCAAATTTCTTACCCCCACCCCTTGTTTACTTAAACATTTTTTAATTAATGTATTGTATATATTCGGAAAAAAGTAAATGACTGCCTATGACGTAATCATCATCAAGACTCCCCCACCCCCCATGTCATTCAAAATAAGCAAAGTGAAAACCCCCTATAGTACGTAATACTTGAACGGCCCCTATCCTAATGATATTACGTAACTACATGGAATAATCTAGATATAATCAGCTTCTGCGTACTGATGCCGTGGTAACAGCAATAAATAAATTTATCGTAGTTTTTATTATACTATTACGTTAAAATAAATAATATTATTATCTCAGGACAATCCACACATAACGGTATCCAGTCCCAAGCTAAACGTATCTTGTGTTATAGATACTAGACAAGAGAGTTAGATACATTATTTTCATAAATATTATACATACATAGTACATATACATGTATATACAACACACAGACCTATACGAACGGTCATACTTACGAATATAAAAGTTTGTACCGTGCGAAGAGTCGAAAATGCTCCTATCGGAAGTAAGACAGGGTTCTAAAGTGCTAGACCGCCTAGGTATTATATATAAGAAAGCCTCGGTTATGTTATAAAAATAAACTGAAATATATGAAGCAATTTATGATGCATGATTTAATATTTTTATAATCTGTTTATTACCGATAACTTGTAATGCATGGCATAAGAGCCTTAAATAATTCTTTGACCGGTTTATCGCCTTGCATTAAATGCTTTGTAAGGCTACGCTTAAAAAATATTAATGAGAGCGCAAACACTGAATCTAAAATATATGTCCTTTTTAGAAAGAAAAGTGATAAGGTGAGAAAAGAACTTGAAGAAGCAGCGAGAGAAAGTGGCAGCAGAAGTAGCGCAGAATCACCTGGCAGTTCCTCTGAAGATAAATTGATTGAGTCTATGCCGTTTTACACGACTGTGTTACCAACTAAAGTCGCTTTGAAATTCGTAAGAATAAATTTTGCTCATTATATTATTATACTGGAGAGACGACTGATTGTAATCGCAGAAGACATAATGCCCTCATTCTACTGAAAGCAAAATTACATTGTATCTCGTATTAACCAGCTATGTTTAAATTTACCTTTTTATATAGAAATAAGAGAAAAAAAAAATGAAATAAAAAAAAAGCGAACAAGAAAATCAAATAAAAGAAAATAATATATATAAAAAAACATATACCAAAAACAACGATAAAAATTAAAAAAAAAAGCGTATCCACCACTGGCATCAAATTTTGTATTAGCTGCTTGACTTCAGGGAATACGTGTTAACTGAGTTTTGCTTTTCTATGAGTATTCAGTTCCGTATAATATTTTAATATTTTTTTTTATAAACCGTAATTACTTATGATATTATTTAAACAATACTATGAGAGATAAACAAAACAATAGATTAGATATTATCTCTCTTAGAGATAATATTAAAAGGTATATTTAAGCAGTATTGTTCGCTGACAGAAAATTTCTTGTAGTATTAATAATATTTGTTTATATAAAATCAATTTTCAATTTTAGTCTTATAGATGTAGTAATTATAGCTTATTTTCAATCTTATGTACAGGATGCGCATGACGGAGAAGTAAATGCCGTAAAGTGGAGTCCCACAGATCGTGTGGTGGCTACAGGAGGTGCTGATAGGAAAGTTAAATTATGGGACGTATCAAAATGTAAGTATTCAAAATTTATGTATATAATATAAAAATTAGAAGTTGAATTTTTTTTTCCTAGTCGTTTTCGAATACGAGAATATTCACATGACGAGGCAACTTGGAAAAGGGTTTATTTCAAGTTTTTCCTTCAATGTACTGTTGTATTGTGTTTGGTTCCTACGGTATCCGAGATATTACCTACCGTAGGTAACGTAGGTAATATCTCGGCTAAATATTGGCTAAATATTGGCCAAGAAGGTTCAAGATTCAAAATCAAGTCTTAAAATCCTCAAATTAAAAAAATCAACATACCCATAATTTCATATAGGTATATAGATAACCATAATGTTTAGTCCATATTTCCGTAGCTATGATCGAAAATAGAGGAAACCTGGTTGGTTCGAATGCTGGCGTGATGTCAGTAGACTTCGATTCGACCGGCGCGTATATAGTAGGCGCTTCCAATGATTTCGCGAGCCGCGTGTGGACTGTAGCGGACCAGCGGTTAAGGGTGAGTGATTTATTATAATAATTATTAATTGAGATACTCTACTATCATCATATTCTATCAGTAGTTAAGCTGTGCTTTTAGACGCAAGCACCGCTCACCAGTTCGGTCACCAGACCCCCTATACAACGTCGGAGGAGATGTAACCGTATTGCAACATCTTTATTTAATTTTAAGTACTTAAGAATAGTGTTAATATAAATTCCTGTTTGAGAAATAAAATTAAAACCATATAAATTACTTGTTTTGTAAGATGTGTTTCAATTAAAACATGAGTTAAGGCACTGAAATTACAGGATATGGAGGTAGATTTTAGTTCTCTATCAACGCAAGAGTGGTGCTGTGCTTCAAATGATGAAAAGTGTGCGGCTGTACTTAGTGCCGTTATAGCGCAGTGCAGATGACAGTAAATGATATAAATCTTAAAACGTAGGTCACTTACTAGGTTTCTTATATTCAACATAATTGAATGTCAAAAAATGTACTGAATTGACTATTACATTGGCTTTGATTACAATAAATAATAAAATCCTTTTACAGTAAATAAAGCTAGACTGTCAATCGTTGCCCGCAATATTTCGCAGATTTTGTATTGTGTCAATAATTTGTGAAGCATAGTTGAAATGCTTTAAATGTTTGTATAGTCTAAGTACGTCGTAATAAATTTCCTGAATAAATGACTGAAGCACAATCTCCATGTTTGGTTTCTTATTACATATATTTTAATTTGCAATTTTTGTAGGTTTTTTTTATTTTTGCTTTGGTGCATTGTTACCAATAAATATACAAAATTTGACGACTAGAATGGTAATAACATTAATATATATTATCATAGTTCAATCTTTTTCTATGACATTCCATTTTTTTTTATTATTCTTCTATATTATTTCATATTAATGTAAACCAATCTACTTCAACCGTGAGAATAGAGTCGGCATCTCCACAAGAATATAGTTCATAATTGGATAAGGGAATAGAACAATAACAGTGTCCGTCAGTTTGGACATTATTATCGAGCACGGGGGGCGGGGTCACGAGCACGAACCTCTATTAGCGGGTTGTTAGCGCGCGTCGGTGCGTCGTGATCTCTACTGATCACTTCCGACGTTGCGCGCGGATGTTGCAAACTCGAATTGCGAGTATTGGTTTGTTCTTTTTTAATCGGGGCCGTGACTTGGTCTTACGATCACAATTATTATAAATTATCCTAATTAATCAACTGACTTCAAGCAGGACGTGCTTATTAATCTGTTTAAGGTGATATGGTTAAATTATCCATACGATTCTGTATAGAACGTAATGTAAAATTAATTCTATTGACACTTTTGGTAGAAATGTCAATAAAATTAATTATATAGTTCGTATTTTTTATACGTATTGTTAGTCTTAATTTTTTTTATTTATGTACTATTAATTATTCTCATGATAATTAATAATATTACGTAATTCTTAATAAAATCCGAAAAATGACTTCGTACACAATTGGAATTCTTATGTACAGATTAACATACGTTATTTTGTGGGCTGAACAGTAACTGCTAAAACTTGTCCTCCCTCTGCATCTCTTTACAAAATTATAGATTTAATCTGGTCATTCTCCTTTAGGAATTACTTGACTATTCTATGTGTTGAGTGTTAATAATTAATTGCCTAAGATAATACCCTAGACAAACCACAATACCAATACCTGCTTATCTTTGTTTTATAATAAGACGTAACTAAAATAGTATTCACGTTCCTTTGTTATTATTCCTTTCTTCAATACTCGATAATCCAATCAGGAAATTATGCGTATTACAATGATAATATAGTCAATAACCACAGCAAATGTCGTTTACGTACCACCCACTTGGATTCCTGGTTCGATTTTCTCGTCATCACGAAATCCTATACAAACATGCAATCAGGACCTTAAGATCAACAAATTGGAGAGTCCGCCCACTCGTTTGCTGTATTGCGAAGGGAAAGAATTACTAGAAGGGCGATGTAAGCGTATTTTACTTTGTATAATCAGTTCGCATTGATGATATTCGAATGCTTATTTATCAACTCACGCTTTTTTCACTTCTGGTCAGACGGAGACTATAAGTCGTATGTATGTTTGTTTCGAATTATTAAATTATATTTGTATACAATTTACAACTACGTTATAATGAGTATAACATATAGGGACTGGATGTGAATGGGATTAGATTTTTTAGTTTAAATAAGTATAATGGCTATATAACGGTGCCGTGTAACAAAGCTGTTAAATACGATTTTAGTAAAAAATAAAAAACAAATCTAGACGCTTTATTCTTATTAATTAAAGTAAAAAATTAAGTCTATGTATCTACATATGTCATTCTTGCTATAGTGTTAATGATCATTCCAGAACTATACATCTGGGGCATTTACATGAATCCACTGTTTATTTTTGAATCAAGATATCCATCTTGACCGCATTTGTACAAGACTGTCGAGAAATCGAGATGAATTAAGTTTTGAGATTACGTTTCATTTTATCCTCAATAGTAGTCGCAACGTAATGATCAGTAATAGAGCCATTAAAGCACTCCCCTGAGCGAAAGTTCTCCCGCCGTGGCATTATTTTAATTTATGGATGGTCTATTGAAAAATATATTTGCAAGCTATTTTTGCAAATGACTTTTTAATAGTTTCATCTCGTTTAGTTTAAACAAAAATAGATACTGACGTATAGTAATCACTAGAAACGAGATTCATCATTATCTAAACTAACATTATAAATAGGTAAAAAAATGTAATGGATTTTTGCTTAATGGATAAACATAAAAAATACTTAACTGATTTTAAAAATCTCTCACGTAAATATGTTTTTAACAAGTAACATGGATTTAAATACTACTGTAAAATTTTGGTATTGCGGCATTAAATACTAGATGATTTCAATTCTGTAATTATTATTACTTGTAGAATTATGTGTATGCAAATTCGTTTTCTTTTATTTTCAAAAATATATAAAATTTATTCGTCTCAAAATAAAACTATTATTTCTATAATTGTGACAATTCAATTTACTAATTTCAGTGTGTAATTTTTGCCTAAAATCAGACTTATACATTAGTCAATAGTCAGTTACGTACTTGTAATATGATTACAAGCTCACGTGTCAGTCTATTAGAGTATTTTTAGAGTATTGCTATAAAATTACAATATCTGTTTGTTTCCGTGGAAAGATTCTTACAAAATTGTAATATTATTGTTATAATATTATTGGCCCTCAAACATTTAATTTATTTTGCTAATCATATTACAGTTATGTTTTAAAAGCCTTTAGACGATTAACGCAGTCAGCTCTCCTGAGTTGAACACGTCGTCACATTTTTACTTCTTATATGTATCTATAGTTCAATAAAATCTGCTTGGCTGTATAAGGCAAATATTTGTAATAATACTGTATCAATAATAATAAGTTTTGCGTATAAATAAATTAATTCTATTTTAATGTTAGGTTTTAATTATCACAAGTAATACTGAATCTCATTGATATTCATTATTAGATATATCTCTTATACTCGGAGCTAAATAAATATTATTCAAAAGTGAATAGCTCATTAAATTAAGGAAAACCCATTTGTATACTAATTTAGAATGTAAGAATTTTGACTTCTCTGTAGGTATTAAGGAAGACGAAAGGCTACCATTGTCTCCGTTTACTTTCCTTTTCCCAGCGAAAGTATGTGCTAGTTCTCTTTAAAAGGCTCTGTTAATGCGCATTTACCACAACAATAGCTCCGTTTTCAAGGCAAATCCGTAGTCGACTACGCTATTTATAATAAATACTTACCTATTTCGTCGTATTATCTAAAAAAGCGATCTAAATTATATTTATGTGTTCTTTTTATGTTGTTATTATTACACAGCAAATTGTCATCATCGTGATATACCAAAGTATATCTATATGTATCTCAGGTTATTAATGCGATTAACAAAAAGAATTATGTATAATTCATCCTCATAGTAACATCGTATCTAAATGTAAAATTACACCGTTAATCTTCCTTAATTAAATATAGACTTTACTGAGTGTATTTGCTTACATCCGATTTCCATTTAGTGAATCATGGAAAATCAAATTTTTTTTATGTCTAATATTTATTCATAAGTAATAATTGTTATCGGGCGCCGTTGTCTAATAATTAATATTGGAATGACCAATACCAAATATAAAACACGGAAAAAATTTCCATGATCACTAAAATTATCGTATTCAAATCTAACAACGTGTGCTTCATCGGGTGTTAGATCAATTTATTATCTAAATTACTCTCAAATACCAACGCTATTATAATTTTTTTGTCCATTCTTAATAATATTATGATTTAGCAATAGACTAGCGTGTATAATGTAATATCATATATTTTATATGCATAATATATACATATGTACTAAAGCAAAATGTAACAACCACTTTTTATATTTTGCTTGTTACTTACAATTTCTTCTATCAGACAATATTTTTCTGATTGTCCATATTATATTTCAGTGTAAGTACTAAGTGACCAAATGACTTCCTACTCTCCTTATGAATATAAGAATGTAATGAATGTCGATTTAAGAATGTAATTTCTTCTATTAATTTTATAATCTATTCCATTGAACGTCGAGTAACTAGCTTGACTCACTTATTGTAATGCTTAATCAGATTACATATTTCATAAGAACCGAAGCCGGTTCAGTAATATTTTATCTTTGTCGCGATACCAGAGACACGATTCTGTACATAGCCTCATTTAGTACCAACGACAAAACTGAGTAAAAAATCGCATAAAAGGAGCCGATATAGAACAATCTTAGCAATCTTTAAGATACCCTCTTAAGATCCAAGGACTACTCGCAACGAATGTGTGCATTCCCTATAAGGAATTCTGAATATACTAGGACTTTCCAAGTAGTCTGTTGACAGGTGACTGTCTATCTTCGATTACCCGTTCAATTTTACTTTTCGATCGTTTCTCTCCGCATGTGCCCGATTCGATGGT